ATACAAGATATCTGTCAGTTAACAAACAAATCCATGTAACATAACACAAAAATACTTTTTTTAATGTCACAGAATTTTAGAAACATATAAAGAATATTAAACCTGAATTTCTATTAAATAATTATTAATTAATTATAGATTTCCAAATGTATTTTAATCTTTTTATGTGGAAAAAAAGGTAATTTTTCTTTAAATAAGCAGTCATTTTATCATTATTTACAATCACAGTGTAAAGGATAAATAATTACAATATTTTCCATGTTATTTTACATTATGCATGCAAATTCCAGGATTTTTTTGTAATTGCATTAATATTTCCATAAAAATATTTAAAATAAACATGAAATCTGTGAACTTTTAAACAGATTTTAGCACCGTGTGCATTATAGACACATAAAGAGCGATCGCAGTGTTAGTTGGTTGGTGTGCAGAGGTCACTGTGGACCTAAAGCTCCCCCCTGAGATCAGAAGAAATCCGTTTTGGTGATATTGGGAGTGAAGGTCGCTCATTGTCTGAAGCACCAGAGCAGCTCGCACAGGAAACAGAGTCAGTTATGGCGGCCTGCTCCCGCCTCCAGTCCCACGCTCTCGTCATTGTTCGCCTCCTCCTGCAGGTAGCCGTCAGGACAAAGCTCAAGTCTGTTTAAATCACCCACTGTCACTGATCACTCGGGCGTATCCACTCTGTGATTGATTACGATGTGTTTGATAAACAGGAAGCAGGGACATGATTGGCAGGTCTGACTGTGTGGCTACAAAAACAAAAACAGTGTTTTGGTTTAGTAAAAAATAATCAATCTTTTTGAGTTATGACAATTTCTAATTAATAATATAATATAATTATGTTCAATGAATGTTACTACATTGAGTTCAGGGAAGCTTTTTCTCCACAATCTAAGATATTTTTAATTACAACTTACTTAAAAACAAGGTGTTTGGTTGATTATGGCTACACTGTAAAACCAGAAAAGTTAATTTAACCTAAAAGAAATGTTGAAACTGAAAATTAAAACATACTATTCTTGGCTTAATATTCTTGATTTAAGTGACGCTGACCTAATTTTGTCATTTTTATTGTTGTTTGTATTTGTAAATATCCAGTAAAAAGTACTTTAAAACAAGTTTCTGTAACTTAAAACAAAGTTAGTGTCACTACTAAAAGCTGCTTCATTAAAAATATTTTAAAACTTTTTTTTAACATTTGTGTAACTTAAAATTTTCAATGTAATCAATTTCAAGTTTTTTTTAGTTAAAATAACTTATTGCATTACAGTGTAAATTTTGTTTAACTGTCTCAACTAGTTTTTCCACATCAACATCATCACGTCAACACAACTCATTAAAATAATGTTTGCAATTTATTTAAATCAATTAATTAAAATGTTTATTTTGCAGCTATTTAATTAAATGATTGACTGAATTACGTTTTATAGTGTTAGCTCTCGGTAAAAACAAGTTTACTCTTTCAGTTTTATTTTTTATTAAGAAAATATAAATTAGAGACGGACTCACTCTGTTGTCACTGACAGCTGCAGAGTCAAATTCTTCTACTTACATATATTTTTCCCACTAAAAGGTTTATTAGTGGGTGGCATCCCACACAGAGCCACACAATACTGCATTGTTGTTGGATATTTTCTTCAAAACACTGAGTTCCTACCAGGATGTCTAAATTCAGATATGTGAGGGCACGATGCCGTCTCTCTCTCTCTCTGTGTGTGTGTGTGTGTGAGATGTTATATAAATAAATAAACTTTCATTTTGACCCCAGCAGGGAATAACAATGAATATCTGTCCACTCTGTCCTCAAACCATCAGAACAACCTGATGCTAACCTCAGATAAAAATACAAAAGAAAAACACAACTGTGTGTAAAAATGTTAATCTGCATCAATCGTTAGTTATTGTCACATCTGAAAGCTAATGTCAGTAAAATGCTAGCTAATCTAAAATGCTGGATGTCCCAATTATAAAATGGCTGTTAATAAATAAAATACCACAGAATAAACATTTGTTATATACATTCATTTATTTAGTTTTATCACATTCATTCAATTCATAAATCAGTTATTTTATCTGTAAACATGTTTTAACCTTTGTAAACACTGTCTGTGTGCAAGAGGAGGTTATAATTAAAGTAAACTAATTCACACTTCCAACATCCCTCGCTCCGAGAGAAAGAGAACGTTTGTCTGCTGTGATACCACATGTGTAGTGCATAAACTTAACTTAAGCACACCTTAAAGTATTATTTTTTTGGCCTTTTATGCCTTTATTGACAGAGACAGCTTGAGACAGAAAGGGGGCAGAGAGAGGGGATGACATGCAGCAAAGGGCAGCAGGTTGGATTCAAACCCGGACCGCTGTGTATATGGGTCCCCAGCTCTACAACTGAGATCTAATGTTGTTTGCAGTTTCAGTCATAAGCTGCATCTGAATGTCTTTATTTCACCAGATGAGCCTCTTTTAGTCTGTTCTGATCTAAGGTCAGTTTGTTATTGTGTGTTTTCTGTGCTGTCCACCGCTAATGGCAGATACAGATAGCAGCAGTTAATTAGCGGTTTGCTACTTTCGCTAGTCGTAGTAAGAGTTGAAGCAGAGCAGCCGGAGGACGTCAGAGGGAAAATATTTTCTCCATAAAATCTGATCCAGTTTCACCAAAATCACTGAATAGAGTTATAAAGTTTGTGCAGTAATCAGTGAGGCCATAGATAGATGTAATACATCAACCCTCAGAAACAGTAAGTCATTAGGACCATTAAAAATGCCCCAAAATACCAGAAGAAATGGGCCAGATATGTAAGTGACAGCTCTGCTGTTACCTTCCCTATTGGAAGTCTATTGTGAAGCACAACAGAACATGTTAAAACCTGATTAAAAACCTGCTTACCTGAACACAAGAAACCGGCTTGTATCTACCTGGGAACATCAGGTTTATCGAATCCCCTACCACGATTACAAAAACCAGGTGTTTTGGTGTTTCTTACAGGTAATTTGGTGCAGGGAGCTTTTAGTTTAATTCAAACTGCTAATATGGATCATTTTTAATGTTTTGTCTCCACTACAGAAACACTAGCTAACTGCTAAAGTCAGACAAGGTTGTCTGACATTGACTACTGTCAGTTATTAGTTTTACTACATCACATGACTTTGACGGTGGGCGTGAGAGTGATACAGGGTTGGTCAAATGGCACCGATGCAGCAACCATTAAATACTAGAGAGGTTGCAAACATAACACATTTGATGTTTAAAGACAGGTAACAGGTCGGAATGATGAGTTTTTACCCATCGACATATAAAAGATGGATGCTGCGTCTCCACTTCTTGTATTTTTGTAAAAAAATGAAGCCATTGTATTGGTATTCTATGGAATTAAATTGATAAAGACCTCGAAAGAGTCTGTGCCGTCGTGATCAGGGCTGGCGCCGCTGTATCGATGTCCCGCCCATACGCCGAGCCATCTTTATATATGTCGATGGTTTCGCCTGCTTCATTACTGCTTCACGGCTGTTTTTAGTTTATCTAACATGATCTGCAATCCGTCTCTGGTTTTTTCATCCACTTGTCTTTTCATCTCCTTCAGTCTGTTGACTTTCTCGTCGTCTTTTTTCTCCTCCATCTTCTCAATCAGGAAGTCCAAATGGACATAAGTGGACATTGGTTTAACATTGCGGGAGATCCGATCCAGTCTGTCAACAAGCTGAAATGACTCTTCCAACAACTGATCTTTTTCCTTCTGAAGTTCTGTCAACTGGCTCTCACTTGCCCCGTCTCGTGAAGTCTGCCGAGCTTTCTCTTTCACATGATCGGATACAGCACAGCCACATTGAGTGCAGCAGCCATCTTTCATGACCTCACATTTTCCTAGATCTGAAGACACTTTGCACGGATAGTGACAGTTCTTCTTACAGTTTTTGCAGTAGGTGGCGCGCCAACCTCTGTTTTTATTGTTGTCGTTCAGCACAATCTTCCCCCGTTTATTTTCAATCTCCTCAATCTTCTTCTGCAGGTCCTGGATGAGGCCCGTCAGTCGATTTCCTTCTTCCCGAATAACTGTCTCCCGCTTTAGAGGTGCAGTTATTTCCAGGAAGGCTTTAAACTCCCTCATTTCTTTCTTTATTTTAAATGCATATTTAAGATGAACCGTGTCCTCTGTCCCGTCTTCACTCTGACAGTTATTTAACAAGAAGTGAACAGGCTGATTCGTTTCATCTTTGGCGCACTTCATCTTCACATCCTTGAGCGCTTTCAGAGCATTTTCGGGTGTTCTTCCGTCTGAGTGAGTGATGAAGACGACTACGTTCTTCTCCACATCTTTTCCAAACAGAGACGTCACTGAATCAAAGATGTCCCTCAGTCGGTCACTCACTTGATTCTCAGTCGCTTTCAGCACCAGA